GGGTAACAAGAGGGAAACTCCGTCTCAAAAAAAAAAAAAGAAAAGAAAAAGAAAAGAAAGGTGAGTCTGTGGTGATTGAAACAAGAGTGCTTCTTTTCTCCTTTCCCTTCTCAGTGAGGCAGAGTCTGCTCAAGACTTCTTAAGCCCAGAGCACATGGTTCCATCTTTACCTAGCACATAGAAGGAAGGCTTCCTTCCTTGGCAGGCAGGACACTAGCAGTTCTGTTCTGGCTCCCAGCTACCTGTTGTTGAGGCTAAGTCCTGGGCAAGTAGTTGAAAGGTGGAGTTCTGTTTTGGGCACAGTGTGCTGAGAATACTGGGGTTCTGGTCACTCAAGCCATCGTTTGTGGCAGTAATATCATGCCATAGAGGCACACCCAAAGAACCCAAGACTGCTTATGATTCCTGCACCCTAAGAAGACTAGTTATGTGGACATTGTCCACTCTGTGATGGAAAAGAACACTTTTTCAACAAATGTTGCTAGGACAACTGGATATCTAGATACAAAAGATACTGCACTTAGGTTACCAGTTTTCTGCCTCAGCCAGTTTTGCTCTGATGTAACGGAATACCACAGCCTGAGTACTGTATTTGTAATGAATGGAAATTTATTGGATCACGTTTCTGGAGGCTGGAAAGATAAAGGGGCTGGCATATGGTGAGGAGCTTTCTAGCTGTGTCATCCTATGGTAGAAGGGCAAAGAGAGGGTATGGATGGGACAAATGTCTTTTTTTTATAGGAATCCACCCTGAAATAACAGCATTAATCCATTGATGAAGGCAGAGCCCTCACAGCCTAATTACCTTTTAAATGTTGCTTTATTAAACATTGTTGCATTGAGGGTTACATTTCCAACATAGGCTTTTGAAATGAAGTGAAAAACTTGACCATTCCGAATTATAGTTTGAAATTGCAATGCCTCTTTCTTGTATGCGATTGAACATGGGTAAGATAATCAGTAAAGGTGGTTTTAAGAACACTATTAACCAACTTGACTCCATTGGCATGAGTAGAACATGACACCCAACAATAGCAGAATGCACATGATGCTCCAGTGCTCATGGAGTGTTACTTTGTATATCTGTGTTTTCTCCCTTTATTGATAAAGTTAGCTAGTAGAGTGCCTATGTAGCTAATAAAAAACCACAGGCTTCTCAATTATTATCTATGGCTTTAAAAATATCTTAATTAATTTCTGCTTTGATCCTTATTTCTTTCTTTCTTGTACTTATTTTTGCTGCTTTTTAGTGTTTTAAGATAAAATTCTTTTGTTCATCTACTTCTTCATTTTTAAAAATAACTAAAATGTTTAGTGCAATGAATTTTCTTCTAGGACTGCTTTAAATGCATATTATAGATTCTCATATGTTGCATATTTTAAAATATGTAAATTTGTATTTGCAAATAAAATACATATTTACATATAAAAATTACATATTATTTTAAAATATGTATTTTCTGTTTATATTTTTCCATTTACTCAGGAGTTAATAGGAGATTTTTAAAAATTTCTTGGTGAAAGAGCCTCTATGTTGTTAATAAAGTCTTTTTTTTTTTTTTTT